TATCTTGCCCATGTAATTGTAACCCCTCTGTACAGTATTTTCACAATAATAAATAAATAAAAGTTACCAACTTCCTCATGTAAGGAAAGTTATGGCTGCGAACAAGTGTTCTGTGTTGGCAGGCCCCAAGAGCAATGCATGGTTAATGAAGAGCCACTTGCTTTAAGTTTCTCATTTGCTCTCTTCCAAAGAATAACCCATGGGACCAATATCACAAAGGACTTATAATCAAAGCACACCTTTACAAAAACTTTGGTTATGTTTCAACTTTTATCATGTCTCCAGATAAGCCATTATTGAAACCAAGAATCCCATCCCACCCATTAGAGGCCTTTCATGAACAAATTCTTCTGAGAGTAGTTCAAGGCAGCATACAGATGCTTCAGGAATGGATCAATAAAGATGTGGAACACATAAAAAAAAAGCAAACAAGCTCTAATTTTTTAATAATCTCTTATTATTGAGGAATTAAGATGTTTTCAGTTTTTTGTTTTCCTTTTCCACAGTGTCTCGGATGTTCTTGAGTTTTCTCGAGTTTTGGACCATGGATACCAAACTCTCCCTAAAATCACTAGTCCCATGATCTCTGCCAATGTTTTCAAGCTCATCAAACAAGGATAAGGTCTGTTTGAGTTTGGCCTGAACAATTTTTTGCTCTTCTAATTCAGTAAGAAGGGCGTGCTTTGTACATAATTCAGTCTTATACTTGTTTTGTAACTCTTCAATTTCTTTTTGAAGAAGCCGAAATTCTTCCTCACTATATGGATGCGTCTCCTGACATTTATCTTCAGGAAGCAAGATGTTTGGAGGAATATGCAAAATCAACTGCAAAAACAGGTGTTCCATTTTGCCAAAAAGGTTATCAAAACGTTCTTTCATGAAACAAAGAAACTTCTCTGTGCATTTACGAATTTGGACTGGGCTAAGCTCACAGTCTGGGATGCCTTCCAGCTTCTTCATAATAACCTGTTCAACAGCCTGCATCACTTCAAATAGGTAGTCTTGAAATGCAATGTAGATCCTCAGCAGGCAAGTCTGTGGTGTGAAGCCAAAGAACTGCGCCTCATAGGCCATTGGATCCACAGACATTTTGGTTTAATTTGCTATTCTTAGTTGCCAAAAAAAAATCTGCAAAGGTAAAAAGAAAAGAAATTGTGAATTTTAAGACATATACTCAGCTAGTGACTCATACCTGTAATCCTCACAACTTGGGAGGCTGAGATTGTTAGATCACAGTTTGAGGCCAGCCTGGAGAGAAAAAAGTTCTTGAGATTCCTTCTCCAGAAGGGCTGTTCTCTTAGCTACCAGGAAGTCCAACATGGATGAATCCTAGACACCTATCTATCTCAAAATAGTGAGCAAAACAAATTTGGGCTGGAGGCATGACTCAACCATAAGGGACCTGTCTGGCAAGGGGAAGGATGCAGACTTCAAATTTCAGTACAGAGGGAAAAAATCAAGAGGATCTGGGCAAGGTGATACATAATCTGAACACACAAGAGGCAGAGGCAGGAAGATTGCCAGTTTGAGGTCAACTGGGCCACTAGTTTGTTTAAAAAAAAAATGATACTAATCATTATCAACAGTAACAGCAAAGTAACGAATCACATCACAAACAGCAAGCAAAAATAGTAAGTTTGTGCAGCTTGATGTTACTTCCAGGCCTAATTGTCAACTAAAAGGTATAAACTTTTGCCTCTCTGGGACTTAGCCTATATTCTTCTTCTTTCTCCTTTGACTGTTCATTTTTCCTCATTTCTCATTTATTTACTTTCAACTTTTTTTTTCCTTTGTACTGGCTTAAACTTAGGGTCTAGGTGCCATCCGTGAACTCTTTTGCTTACGGCTAATGCTCTTACTTTAATCACAGCTCTACTGGCTTTTGCAGACAATAGAAGAAATGAACCTCATAGCTTTTCCTATCCTGGCTGGTTTTGTTTGTTTTTGTCAGTCATGGGGCTTGAACTATGGCCTGAGCACTGTCCCTCAGCTCTTGAACTCAAGGCTAGTGCTCTACCACTTAAGCCACAGTGCCACTTCCAGCTTTTTCGGTTTATGTGGTACTGAGGAATTGAACCCAAGGCCTCATGCATGTGAGGCAAGCACTCTACCACTTAGCCACCTTCCTAGCCCTCCTGGCTGGTTGATCCTTACATCTCAGTATTCTGAGTAGATAGGATTACAGGTGTGAGCCACCAGCACCTAGCTTATTTTCAATTTTTATTTGGCATATGTTATATTGTATATAAGATTTTCAGTATGACCTTTTCATCCATGTATATAATGTAGTTGGCTCCTACGCCTCTGTCAGTTTTTATCTCTCATTTCTCACAAAGACTTAAGCACATAGTTCAATGTTGTGAACTTTGAAATTTACACAGATGACATTATACCTACAGAGACTCTCAGTTTGTTTTTTGGTTTTTTTTTGGGTCCGTCATGGGGCCTGAACTCTGAGCCTGGGCGCTGTCCCTCAGCTCTTCAACTCAAGGCTAGCCTAGCACTTTACCACTTGAGCCACAGCGCTACTTCCAGCTTTTTTCTTTTTGCTTATGTGGTGCTGAGGAATCGAACCCAGGGCCTCATGCATGCAAGGCAAGTGCTCTACCACTGAGCCAC